TTTTCGGCTAATCAAATATTCGATTATCATTGGGAATGAAGAGAGTACGACTAGCTGTAAGCTAGACATTGAAATCGTAGGATCTTTAGGTAAAAATTCTAAAACTATTGTACTTTTGAAACATAATTTGCATTTGTTTTACGATGGGTGATTGATTGATTGTTGTGTGCAATGTGGTTTTAAAGTTGTCGATGGTATTCGAAGTTATTTTATATGTTTTTGTATCCATTTCTCATCTTTATTTTCACTTTATTTTATTTTTCTTTTATTTTTATAATTATTCTATTTTATTTTACTTTATTTTTTTTTATTCTCTTTGTTTTGTTGTTGGTTTCTTCTTCCTCTTTTTTTTTTTTTCATTTCTTGTCTTTCTCGTTCTTGATTGCATCATGTTTGAAAATAAGCAATTGGTAGTTTCCTACTTATTTGATGAAGCCGTCGGAGGGCTTCAAAGATATTTTTGTTTATCATGTTTGAAAATAAGCCGCCAATGGCTTCTCACTTATGTGACGAAGCTCCTGGAGGGCTTCAAAGATATTTTTGTTTATCATGTTTGAAAATTAGTTGTCGGTAGCTTCTCACTTATGTGATGAAGCCATCGAAGGGGTTTAAAATATTTTGTTTATTTGTTTGCATGTAAGTCGTTGATAGCTTCCCACTTATGTGACGAAGCCATTAGCCGTTGTTCGGAACAATCATTTGCTCCTTGCTTGAGCGACATAAAGTTGTCGATGACTTTCCACCTTTGTGACGAAGTCATCCGTAGCCTTTTATATCCATGACTCGAAGTCATCAATGGCTTCCCAGTTGTATGAGTAAAGTTATCGGTGATTCGTAGCTCATGCCGGTAAAAGACTTTTTATCTTTAGAAACTCATCTATTTTTTGATAATAGGTTGTGTTCGCTAATGATTAGCTAAAATTTCAATTTTTTCCCCTTTTCTCCATTTGGGTAAGGCATTGGCCTTATACCGGCCTGAATGCCCTAAACTATCCCGCTTCACACTTGAACCATCTCATCTCATAATTTTATCAAATAAATTCGCACGAATAGGAATAGAAGTATAACAAAATAAAAATTAGGTTTTGTCTATTCATAGACGAACAATACGACTTACCTTAGATAGGACGAGATGATGGTGACATTATGTCTTCCCCATAAGTAACCAAACCCATACCCAAATATCCATATAGACTAGTATATTTAGGATCTTCCTAGTTCTCCTCAATTAGTTAGGTGACAACTCCCTTATCTCGGCCACTTTCATCACTTGTGTTGGGCAGACGTTGACACTATTTTTAATCCTAGCCTTTCAATTGGTTTCATACTAGCCGTCCATTCTTTCTTTAATTTTCTCCTTCCATCTAACCATCTTTTTTAAATCTTCTCCTTCCATTTGTGTATGCATTAATTACACCCAAATAATTAGGGTGAAAGTATCGACAAAAGGTAAAGAAATCTCTCCCAAATTTTTTTTTTACTTTTAGTCCTTTAATTTGCTAATCTTTCCTTTAATTACTCTTTCACCTATCCTCTCATTTTCAATTGATCACTTTAGCTTCTTTCTTTAAAGGTTTACTTACAACTTTTTAGTTCCTAAAGTTCATTCTCAATTTAATTTGAAAGTTCAAACTTTTAATTTATGCAATTAGGTTCCTAATTTTATAAAATTTATTCCACACCTTTCTAAAAATTAATTTCATTTTATAATAAATTCAAACACATCCTATAAGAATTTAGTCATCATTCATATAATTTTTATATGCTATTTGAGCCCTCTAATTGATTATTTGGTATAAAATAACACTTATTTCTATAAAAAATATTTCCTATGCATAGAAAAATTCAAGTTTATGAAATATTCCTACACACCCTAAATGAGTTTTTAATATCTATTGGATAATTTTCATACACATTCAAAGCACTTAAATTAATTAATTTACTTAGAAAATACTATTCACGTACTCGAAAAATTCAAACAAAATAATCACAAAGCATTAAAAATTCATCCAATGGCATCAAATAATCTAGCACCCCTCTAGCAAATATTCTATGCAAAAAAATAAAATAAAAATTCATGCCTATTTTTCATGCTTAAAATAATTGTTATATATAAAAAGTCACTATTCATGCATCAAAAAATAAACAAAATATTCATTGAATATGTAAAAATTATCTTAATTAATTGCTTTGAATATTCTAATAACCCTTTAGGGATTATTCTATGCTCACAAAACATCTTTCATATGTCTTTAACATCATTAAATTTATTAAATGACGGTTTTAACAAGTTCCAAGTATTACAAATGTGTAAGTGTGTTATTTTAGGAGTTTTTTTAGAATTCTTTTAGATGCATGCATACAAAATATCAAGAGTCATTTTAGTTTTTCGTGATGCATTTATGCAAAATAATAATGATGTAATTACTTTTTTTTTAATGGACAAACATCAATATTTATGTGATTATCATGCCTTGATTTGTAAAAGGACTTTTGGTATTATTATATATATTGTTGAAAGTTCATGCATCCATTCTTGAACTATGGAAATGACCTTTTGTTTTTTCCTTTCACATGATTAATTTCCTTTTTAAATCGTATGTCATCCTCTAAACTTTAAAACACAAAACACATTTACTATTATTTTCACTATAGCTGTAGACTCAACTTTACTACTCCTTCTACTCGTGCATGCTATAATACTTTATACTTTTTATTGTTAATGTTACTATACTTTTATATTTTACTATTCATGCTATATATTTTATAGTTCATGCTACAATATAATGGTGTAGTCTTCATTGCCTTTCATCGGACTAGAGGAAAAGGTTGGATTGGATTTGTAAGTTATTTTAATAAGTCATGACTCTTAGAAATCTAGTCGGTTTTGGTATTAGCCCTAAAAGAAGCAATAAACGATGAGTCGACATCGGTTTAGTTACCATAGAAAGCCCTAGTCTTTTAGCGGACTCAAGGTGACTTCTAATCGGGAGTTCTTTAGAGCACACAAAAAAGAGTGTCGTTGGCAACTCTAGCTTCGGGTTAATGGATAACAAGTTAAATTTAAAGTCGGGTATGTATAAGCATATTAGTTAGCTTGAAGTCGGGTGATGAATGTATGGTACTTGCTTATGTCACTTGGGATGATTTACCATTTGGTAATTGGACCTTTAAATATTTTAAAGCAATGTCAAAATTAATGCATTACTATCTACTTCATAGGACATGTCATCATTAGCTCCATTGTCGGTCACCTAATTTCTCCTCAAACAAGTCATGCATTATATTTGCATAATAAGTAAAAATACCTATAACATTTACTAATGAATGGCTTGGTGTTGAGCCTTTTCCAGTGTCAAATTCTACTCCATAATCTGAATATACTCGTTATTATGTAAAACCTATCGCACTTCTTATTGTTTAGCTTGCTTGATCTCTCTTGCTTAAGTCCAAGTTACCATGCTCTCCTACTCCATAGCTTGGCTGATTTGCACGATAATTTTTTCTCTATTGCATCTACCATATGGTCTTCTTCCTCCTCTTCCCGAACTTGTTCTTTATGTGCTTGGATAGCCTACCAATTTGTAGCAATCTTTCTTCAAGTGTCCTGTCATATGATAGTAGTCATAAGTAACAATTTCTTTCTTGCTCAAATTCTCATTCTTGGATTGATTATTGGAATAGACACTTACCGGTGTCTCATTAACTTGAGTATTGTTGGAAATATCCCGTTGAGATTCTTCACTACTTACTATAGAAAAGGCTTGAGTATGCATGGGTAGCGGTGTCATCATAAGGATTTATATCTCATATTTGTATAGCTATCATTTAACCCAATAAAAAGCTGTAATATCTTGAGGTGTTATGTGTGCCATAATATAGCCTTGAGTTTGGACGATCACGGAGTTGGAAATGTCACTAAGGTTTCAAACTCATCCCATAATTTTTTAAGTTTTGAGTAGTATGTTGACACAAAGAGGGTACCTTGCATTATGTATGAGATTTCTCTATGGATAGAAAACATTTAAGGCTACTAACTTTGTCAAATCTATCTTTGAGGTCTTTCCACACCATTTCGTAGATTTATAGTAGACCATGGCATTATAGATCTCTTGTGATTCAGGATTCAAGAGCTAAACAAACACTATAACATTACATCTTACCATGAGGATACATAGGCGAGGTCTGGTTTTTCATAAGTTTCGTCAATAAAATTGTATTTATTCTTCGCTTCAAGTGAGATCTTCATAGCTCTAGATCATACACTATAGTTTTCCATGCCTTTAAGCTATAGTTCTCTCGGTAACTAACACCATATTTGGTGTATCGGAGGCATGAATGTGAAGAGGGTTTGTGAAATCAATAGTGGTGGCATTGCTTTTTGGGTTTTCTTTTGTACTCAAGGCTATAGTGAATTCTTTTGTACTTAAGGCTTTTTGGTTTGAGTAGTTATCTTTTGAATGTAAGGTATAACAAAGTATGTTGACGCATTTATGTTGCTTTTGCATAAGTTCTATCATATAAGCAATGTAGAAGGCCCATTGCAGAGTCTTTCCCATTCTTTGTCATGTTTCCTTTTACCATACGTTCTCAAATCGGTGATCTAATTGATATATTGGTTTATTTGACAAAACACATCCACTTTTAGGGGTTTTGTCAACCTTGAAGGAAAAAATAGATAGTTGGGAAGGTTATATATTCGGTAAATGAAGGTAAAAGAGATAGTTATTAGCAAATTTAGGAAGCATGTGGGTTTTTGGAAAGTCTTGAGAGTGATTCTGTCGCATTTATTTATAAAGGAGTTGCATCCCATTCCTTGCGATCATGTAGACTAATTGTGTGAAGAAAATCAATAGCAAATTTATGTAGCAATAAATTTAAGATTTTTTAGGTTGTATTGCTAGTTCTTCTCTTCCTCTTTATTTATATATATAAAAAATTATTAGCAAGAGAATATTAAGTTACAATAGGGAGAAAAAGTTATTGTTTCGAAGCCCAAAATGTCCGGCCACACATCCGAAACAAACCTTGCAAGGAGGACACATGCCCAAATCTCAATTATCTATTGGATGGAGAGAGTTAAGAGTGAGAATGGATTGAACATAAATGAAGAGATATTTTTGTTTGACTTTTTTGTTTCTCTTACCTCTTGTTTGGATATTTCCTCTTGGGAGGAAAAAAAGTGAGAGGAAAGAAAAAGGAGAGGAAAAAACTATTTTCCACTTGTTGTTTGGATAAGAGTAGAAATGAAAGGAAAGAAAATATATTTTTCTTGTTTGGATAATTGTAAAAAGAGGGAGGAAAGAAAATGTATTATTGTATGTTTACTATAATACCCATATGATTATATTTCTATATTTAACTACTTATAATAAATTTGTATGAATATTTCTTTTCATGAAAATAGTACAAATAATAATAAAATAAAAATCTAGTATGTAACATCTATCCGAAATGATAAGATGGATGATAAATCGTCTCCATAGAATAATCGATAACTCGTTTATTAATTAATTAATTCAATAGCCAATTTAGATTAATTATCAACATAAAATTAATTTAAATATGTATAACATGTATTATTATGTATGCATATAATAAGTTAGTTATTTTTATCCATCATTTTCTCGGCTTTTTTTTTTTGATTAAAAAATTATTATGTAGCAATTGAAAAAAAAGACTATATTGTAGCATTGCGAACAATCATGGAAAGTCAATTGAATCACAAAAAATGAGATAAATTGTATATTTGGACGAGATAGGCATAACCCGTTACTCGGGTGAACACTCTAAATTTATTGTAAAATTTGCGAGTTTCGAAAGCCTAAGGTAGGCTTATTTTCCTGTAAAAAAGGCTCAATCAAATGCAACCTATAACATCATGTTATGGATGCCAACAATCCAAGACACAAAAATATGTTTAGGTTTTTTTTAAATAATAATTTTTATTTCTTCTTTTGCAGGTAACTCCAAAAAGTGTTCGAGGAGGTATTTTGAGGGATTTTTATGCCTGTTTTGGTGGGTTTTTTTGGTGGTTTTGAATGCGGTATAGGGGTATTTTTGAAACTTCTTTGGTGGTTCAAATGACCTATCCAAAGGAGTTCCTCTGTAAGGGTTTTGAAGGGTTGTTGGTAACAGTTCGGAGTCGAGTTTGGGGGACTTTAGGTAGGTGTTGGGTATGTTTTGGGATTGGTTTTAAGCCTATTTGTTTAGGGTTTTTGAGTTTTTTTTGGGTGGTTTTGAAGCTGGTTTGAGGGCGTTTTTGGAACTGCTTTTGTGGTTCAAATGGGCTATCCTAAGGGGTTGCTCTGTAAGGGTTTTGGGGGCTAGTGGTAACATTTTCATAGCTGATTTTGGGAGCTTTTGGTAAGTGTTGGGTCTGTTTTTTAGTTGGTTTTGGGGCTATTTTGGTGTTTTAGGGCTTGTTTGTAGGCTGTTTGAGGGATAGTTTTAGGCTCGTTGAGGAGGTGTTTGATGGTCGTTTTAAAGGGTGTATTTTTTGAGCTATTTTTTGGGGTGTTTTGAGTGTTTGATTTTTGTTCAATCATGCCCTTGATTGTCTTTTGAATTTTTCCAACCCGTTATTTTTCTCAATTGACTCCCGTCTTTGAATTAATCTAAACTAGACATTCTAATTGCTCTTTTTTCAGCTTGATGATTATCATTTTTTTTTTGGTATTTTTGTAATACTGAAAATAAATACATAAATAAATGGGAGGAAAAATTATATGCAAACACTACATACAATTAGGATTTTCAATGATCATAGATAACGAGTTACTTCGCTCCTATAATAAACTAAAGGTAGGATTTAGTAAGTGATTCCAAATGAGATGGATTTCTTAAGCACATACCAACCTCTTTTGATTCAATAATGTAATAAAATTTATTGGTAAAGAGAATTTATCGGTACAAAAATGTACTAATATGCGTAAATCAAAATTTTGTTAATGAATGACATAAAAAACAAAAACTATTTGGTACATATCAAGCCTCCGAGTCTTTTTTTTTTTTTTGAAGCTCGAGCTGATGAATTTTAGATTAGGTAAGAAATAAAAATGAGCATTACATAAAAGGATAGCCCAATCGATAATGATGGAATCCATAAACCCGTGAGATTCTCGAAATAGTCACTAGCAGACGAGTGGCCACCTTCCCCCTTATCTTTATGATAAAATGATCCCAAGCATTAGTAAGAGTATACAATAATTTTCCAAATAGAATCAATCAAGAAACTCCTCTCTTTTTTTCTTTCTAAAATCTCAAAATCAATAACTTACATTAGAGTTTCAAACTCCTCTCATCAAACTTCAATTTCAAAATTTACTTCTTAGAATAGCTCTACTTTAATAACTAATGAAATCTCAAACTCGATTTGCCCTATACCAATTGAAAAACTAATAATAACAACAAGTTCTACAAAAGTAATGTGCTAATCAATGCATTTGGTTATATAAAAACAATAACACAAGTGTTATAGAAATAAGAAGAAATAGAGGAAATACTAACTCGATGGTTTCTAAGGGAGCAAGTACGGCTTTGGTCATAGCTCCTGCTAAAGCCCCGTTGAGAAACTCGCCGACTTCTTTACTCCTTATGAAATCTTGAGTTTTTACATTTCAAAGTGTTCTTTTTAAAATTTAGAAAGATTCAGAATAGGAACTTTCCATTCCACTAACCGAATTAAAAAAATGAAAAAGAAAAAAAACGAAGGCTTTACTTATATTCCGAGTTTAAAACAACTAGGTTTTTACTTTGTTAAAGAGAAAAATAAAAGGAAGATTCAGAATATTCCATCCAAAGGTTCATTTATTTAATGCATAATTTTCCTTTTCCCCGTTGCTTTTAGTCACAACTCACAACTCAAGCAAGAAAATAAAAAAGAAAAAAAACACATAAACAATAAAAAAAATGACACAGTTTGAAAAGGGAATGAAAAATTGATGATGATGATAAAATAAAAGAAGAGGAGTAGGAGGCACATACTCTAACGAGTAATCTTGAGATCGGGGAGTTGAAATAGGAGCTCAAAAGGAGCAAGAGAAGGAGGAGAATGTAGAGAAATAGGATAATCTAGCTCATTGGGAAGCACCATAGTAATCCCATCGTACACGTCTCCAAAAACCCCACCTTTCTTCTTCGCGATTCGGTTTCAAAATCCATCATCAAAATTCTCTCCTTTTTTCCGGTTCTTTTTCTCATCGGGGAGTACAATATTTTTATAGTTTGTAATGCAACTATAATAGTAGTAGCTTTTGTAGCTTGTACTACAACATCCAACCGAAGAAGTAAAAGAGGCTTGATTTGCAAATCTAATTTGTGACCGCAGAGAGTAGAAAAGGAGGGAGACAGACTAAGGTAGATGAGGGCAAAAATGGGAAAAAAATGTATTTTGGTGATTTAAACGTTTTTCCTCTCGGTTTCCTCCCAATTTTGGGAGTAAAATGGGTCCCACCTATTTTTTATTTTTTATTATTTTTTTCTTTCCACTTGTTTTCCTTTCCAAATCAAATGAAGGAAAACATTTCTTTCCTCCCTATTTTCTTTCCTCTCCCCCACTTTCCTTCCTATCTAAACACGGGGTTACATTCTAAATTCTAATTCTTAAAAAAAAAAAAAAACTAAAAGAACCGGACTGTTCAAGACTCACCCCTTGTTTGGATAGGGAGGAAAGTGGGGAGAGGAAAGAAAATAGGGAGGAAAGAAATGTTTTCCTCCATTTGGTTAGGAGAGGAAAGCAGTGGAAAGAAAAAAATAATAAAAAACATATTTTAAGTGGGACCCATTTTCCTCCCAAAATTGGGAGGAAATGGAAGGAAAAATGTGGTACTTCATTCTTTTTTTTTTTGTGATCACGTTTTTGCCCTCTCGCCTCTCGGTCGTCCCTCTCCTTTGCAAACCGCTACGAGTACCGAGAGTAATTTACTCAAAGCAGCCCAAGAATACCGTCTTCTACTCGCTTCTTCTTTATTTTGTTTCTTTTTTTTTTAATATTTAATAGTTTCTCCTTCTACTTGTATTTCGTTTCTATTTTCTTCTTCAAACTCTCTCTCTCTCTTATATATATCAAATCTGCTTTGTGAACCATTGAATTTCAATTTGATAGCAACAGAGAGTAATTTACTCAAATCAACCAACAATATTGTCTTCTACTCGCTTCTCCTTTATTTTTTTTTCTTTTTTTTAATATTTAATAGTTTCTCCTTCTACTTGTATTTTGTTTCTATTTTCTTATTCAAACTCTCTCTCTCTCTCTTATATATATCAAATCTGCTTTGTGAACCATTGAATTTCAATTTGATAGCAACGGAGAGTAATTTACTCAAAGCGACCAACAATACCGTCTTCTACTCGCTTCTTCTTTATTTTTTTCTTTTTTTTAAATATTTAATAGTTTCTCCTTCTACTTGTATTTTGTTTCTATTTTCTTCTTCAAACTCTCTTTCTCTCTTATATATATCAAATCTGCTTTGTGAACCATTGAATTTCAATTTGATAGCAACGAGAGTAATTTACTCAAAGCGACCAAGAATACCGTCTTCTACTCGCTTCTTCTTTATTTTTTTCTTTTTTTTAATATTTAATAGTTTCTCCTTCTACTTGTATTTCGTTTCTATTTTCTTCTTCAAACTCTCTCTCTCTCTTATATATATCAAATCTGCTTTGTGAACCATTGAATTTCAATTTGATAGCAACACAGAGTAATTTACTCAAATCAACCAACAATATTGTCTTCTACTCTGCTTCTCCTTTATTTTTTTTCTTTTTTTTAATATTTAATAGTTTCTCCTTCTATTTGTATTTCGTTTCTATTTTCTTATTCAAACTCTCTCTCTCTCTTATACATATCAAATATGCTTTGTGAACCATTGAATTTCAATTTGATAGTAATAGAGAGTAATTTATTCAAATCGACCAACAATACCATCTTCTACTCTGTTTCTTCTTTATTTTTTTGTTTTTTAATATTTAATAGTTTCTCCTTCTACTTGTATTTCGTTTCTATTTTCTTCTTCAAACTCTCTCTCTCTCTTATATATATCAAATCTGCTTTGTGAACAATTGAATTTCAATTTGATAGCAACAGAGAGTAATTTACTCAAATCGACCAACAATACCTTGTTCCTTGGCTCACCCCAATCTCATTTTCAAGGTTAGTACTTCATTTGTCTCGCTGTCACTTGAAGTAATTTACTCAAATCAGCCAACAATTCCTTGTTCATTGGCTTGTCCCAATCTCATTTCCAAGGTTAGTACTTCATTTGTCTCGTTATCACTTGAATCGATTCCTTCCAAGTATTTCAATTTTCCGTTTCATTTTTGAGAGAAATAAACTTGAAATTTGTTTGAAGCGACCAAAACCCACTTGTTAATTTGTGTTGGGGTTTAGGTTTTTTTTTTTTAATGAATAAGTTTTCTTTCTTTTCTTAGTTCTTTGCAGAGAAATTCGATTACTCTTTATTGATAGCTTGTGCTTATAATCTTATAGCATTTTTAATACATGCTTGCCTCTAGACCTAGAAGAGATGTTTATATGATTTTAGGGTGGGGTGTTGTATCTAGAATTACAGATGGAGAAAATTACCCCAACACAATGTGTTTTGTGGGTTCTATGTTCTTTGCTTGAAAACTTAAACAATTGAAAAGGCACAATAACAAGCATAATATTTAATTTTTTCTTAAGCCTATAGATCGTCTTCAAGTTTTCAACAAGTTTTCCGCATTATGGCGATTTAGTGGTCTAACTTGATTATCTCCTTTAGCAAGTCGATATAGTTGATATATGGTTTTAACTTTTGGATTGTTTCGTTGATTTGATTATCTCATTTATAGTTGATATAATTGGTACAATCAATTAGGTTTTTGTTCTTTTCTTTACAAAATTACAAACTTTCTTTAATGTTGTCGGCACTCTGTATGCTCGTCAAATATATTGTCTTAAGTAAGTCGTCCCCTTTTTACTAGTCTTATAAAATACATGTTCTTATGAAATACATGAATCTATGCATGTACAAACAAATAAGTGTGTTCCAACACTATAGAGTTGCTTGGAAGGTAATTTAGGTACTAGCTTTTCTTGATATTATGCGTACCTTAAGTAGTCGTCCCCTTTCTTCTATTTCCATTTTTGTTATGAAGGTAATTTAGAGTCCTGTGAAGGTTATGGCTTAATTAGGCATAGGATAGAGACTTGCAGGAAAAATATTATGCGTACATAAGCTATGTCGATTAACATTAAAAGGATGAGTAGTAAAAATAAGAGAATAAAAACTAAAAGCGAGTAGAGAACATGGAAAAAAAAATTCGGATTCAAGTAAACAAAGACATTGTTAATACAATAGGTAGTTCTAAATAAGTTAAAGACAAAGGGATTCAACCGATTAATCAAGCCGGTAGGGTTGGGCCATATAAGAGGACTTTCACTAGAAGGAGACTATAGAAAGGATATTATTGAACATAGTATAGTAGCTAGAGTTGTTCCTAGTTTTAGCGAGTAGAGTTAGATAGTCTAAAAATAATGTTAGTACACATGATCATAAACAAAAAGAAAAAGATAGAGCTAGAATAGTTATGGTACACGAAATAAGAGGAACTGAAATAAGAGGGTTGCGTAAGACTCTCGAATCTTGATTATGAAAGCTCCATAACAATTAGGTATCCTCCCCCGTCACTCCATTAATGGCATAACCTTGTTCAATCAAATATTACTCGTCATATCATTCATGCTTGATATTATTAATCTTCTAGTAATTACTTAGGGCATTGTTTAGCTAAGCAAATTGAGAAAACCATATACAATTAGGGTGTGGTTTATATTCAATCGAGTGAGGACCATGTCCAATAGAAGATAGGTTACTCTGTGTTTTGTAATTCTTACATTATTGAACAAGGATAAGAATTCATGTTTGAAGTTTTGATAGAATTTGCATTGTCGAGAAAGGAGTGACAAGATTACGTATACAGATGGGCTTCGTGTGTCGCTTCAATCCATTTTGGTTGAGAAAGGTCCCATGTCCTTTCCATACCATGCTTGATGTTTTATCATTCGTGTACTCGTTCCTGGATGGTTTTTAAAGCCTTTTTAATATGTTATTGGGTTTTTGAGTGTGCTTTTAGAAACATGCTCAAATAATTTCGACCAAAAGAGCATGTTTGCTAACATCTAGTACAAACTACTAGTAGAGAACGAGGAGCTCTACAAGAATTGCTAATATCTCTAATAGAGGGCGGGGTTGCTATTACTCTAGCAAAACATATTTCATAGTTTATTTAAAATGTAATAAGATTCCTCTTCTAAGATACCTTAACATGTCTTTTTTAGGAGAGCTTGTTTCCTTATGAAGCATTTCATATCTAAGCTACTTTTAAGTTTCATTATATTTGCTTTGCAAAAGAGCGATTTACTTATCTCCGGTGTGTCTCATTGTAAAGTACTTGATTGATACCAATCAATAATTCATGTTCGTGTTTGGAAATATTTGTTCTTTAAACATTGCATGCCTCTTTCTACACAGAGCAGTTGATTTGAACTCCGAGCTTGTTTGTGTCCATGATTCAGCAAGACCTTTGGTCTCGGTGGTAGATGTGGAAAAGGTTGGATCAAAATA